TCCAAAAACATGTATCTCGAATACATAGTAAACATATACATCTAATTATGTGTATCTAAATATGGAATATACAAAAAGAAGAAGCATATACATCTAATTATGTGTATCTAAATTTCATACGTTATATCCAAAAACATGTATCTCGAATACATAATAAGCATATACATTTAATTATGTGTATCTAAATATGAAATGTAGTTGAAACACATGAATCTATGAACAAATCACGACTGTAGAGTATCTGTCGTATCATTAATATCATTGTGTTGTTAAAAATCATGTATCCGAAATTTAATATATAGTGGATACATATATATACATGTTCAGATACCTCATTACTAAAAATACAACTCGGATATTAATTAAGATTACTACTTATTGGCAGGGGCGAATTTATGTACTAATTTTGGGTCACCCGCACCCGTGGTCATCCGACTAAACTCGATATATTACTTCTATAATTATTAAAGAATATATTAAATTAAAACTTGTTGAACCCGTTCTCAAAATGGTTGGATGGTTCACTGGTACCACTGCAAAATTTCAACTCACAGGTCGCAGGTTCGATCCCAGGCAGCCCCAATTCGCTGCAATTTATTTTTATTAACTAAAAACACATTTTTCATTAAACAAAATAGCTAAATTCTGAAAGTTCTAAAAGTCAAAGACTTCAAAAGTTTCCTTTCCACACACTTTTCAAGTTTCAAGTTCCAACAATATTTTTCTTCTCTCTTCAAATTTGTTTTCTATTTTCCACACAAAGAAGAAGCTTCAAGTCTCCAACTTCAAGTCAAGAATTTAGAGAAATCATCATTGTCAAAGTTTAAGGTAATTTTAGTTTATGATTTCTCTTTTTAATATACAAACTAACAAGATAAAAAAAATATATATGTATGTATATATCACTTTAATTTTAGGGTTTTCATATAAAAAAATCTTGTCATTACTTATAATAGGAAATCATCAATAGCTAAAGAATTGATTATCTCAAACTTACATATTTTGCGGATGTAACTTGTAAGAAATGTGTTTCATATTACATTATCAATTTTGAAGGGTGTGATTCCTTTTTTTTAATGTGAAAGGGGTGTGATTCCCTTATTTTTTTAATGTGAAATGGGTGTGATTCCCTTATTTTTTTAAATGTGAAAGGGGTGTGATTCCTCTTCTTTCTATGAATATGTGATTTCGAATGCAAAAGAGGCATACGTCCTCTTTTTATTATGAATGTGTGATTTTCTTATTGTTAAATGTGAAAGGGATGTGATTCCTCTATTTTAGTTACATTTGCAAGGATTGTGATTCCTCTATTTTATTTGAACTTGCAAGGGTGTGATTCCCTTATTTTTTATTGTGAAAGATATGCGATTCTCTTATTTTATTTTAAATTTGCTAATTAAATTTGTGACTAAGTTGAATAGTTATTTGAATTTGTAGGAACATTTATCCTTGAATATCTAAATGGATAAATTTTTGATTAAGAAACCACGTTCTAATAACGATCTATCTGTTAGTTCACATGTAGCTCCAGAAGCTCAAAGAGAGACAATTACATCTTCTTCTTCAAATGTTGATTGTATTCTTGGGGTTGGATGTCTCAAACGGGATCCCGGAGAAAGAAAACCCATCTTTGAATATGATTCTAATATTCGAGATGTTGTGAGGAGACATTATATTTTGATGGGGCCTTATCAACCAAAACTTCGTGTATATCCTAAAACAACATTTGGGACTAGTAATTGGCAATTTAATCCTGAGTGGTTTAATGCTCCAAATTCTGCTTGGTTTGTAAGATAGAGCGGAAGATATTTGAAAATGTAAGTAATGATGCTATTATAGATCGTTTTCAAAATATGAAGTCTCGTCGAGTACAATTGTAAACTGATGATATTTTTTGTGGTAATGTAATTTTTATGTATTGCTCGCTTAGTTATTGTTATTATAAATTTTTTTTTATCTTATCTTTAAAGCAATGGTGCACCCGTTTTCTTAAAATCCTGGATTCGCCTCTGCTTATTGGATACACATGTTTCAAGGGCTATATCAAAGTAATATTGGTACTACCACATCCATATCACAGTAACCAAAGAAAGTCTTAGAAGAACACCAACAAACAAAAACTCTCTACAATATTCCCTTTGATCCTTTTGCACTGTGGCATAACATAATCAAAACTAAGATCCATTTCTTTTGGAGATAAACAATCAAGACCACTATGAATTGAAAGTTTTCTCTGTAGTAGTTACTGTGATTGGAACTCATGATAAATGAACAATACAAAATGATATTTGGGTTCAGGAGAATTTGTGGTGATGATATCTTGAGAAGAAGAGAGTAGATTAACTATTGTTGAAATGAAATTGTAAGGTGAAATTCTTGAATCAGAAAGTAGGAGACATAATTGAGTGATAAACATGGGAGGGGAGAATTAAGAGATAGTGGTTGATTTGGAGTGACAGAGTTATTTAAGCAGATAATTAATCAATAATAGTTTTAAGGGATGTGAGTATCTAATAGTATTTTCAAATAATATATTAATATATGGTATAAAATACTAAAAGTGGTAATATATATAATTGTTTAAAAGTAAAGATAATATTAGTATATATAGTAGTGATGTATGTCTAATAAGATAGTTTATCCTTATTAAAATATATAACAATCATCCGATCCAAATAGAATGTTAGTTATCACAAATAATTGATACACTTGAAGTACTTACTATATAATTTAATTCATTTAGTTTCACCATTACTACCAAAATGACTCTGTGGCCCAATGGATAAGGTGCTGGTCTACGAAACCAGAGATTCTGGGTTCGATCCCCAGCAGAGTCGTATTTAATGTTTTTTAAGTTAGGTTTTCTTATGATATTTTCTGTACTTCGAACATATTATTTTTGAGAGTAACAATTCATGTTTGTTAATTGATTTGAAAATACTTCAACCAATATTATATCAATCGGTGTTTTAAAAGATGTTGGGCTCGGAGCGGGGTACTAGCAAAACGTCTTGAAACTCAAGTGTGAGGCTTAGTTCTGTAAAACTTACGTCCTAAGCACCCAATTGTACGCCCTAAGCATGCCCAATGTTTGGGGCTCGCCTAACCGATCTTACACAAATTATGTGTTAAATTCTTTAATTAACATTATTGACCCTCATAATTCTTGAATAAATTAATGATACTTAATAGTTTTTTAATCTATATAAATAAGAAGATTGAGAGTAACTTAAATAACAAGTTATAGTATCGCATATTTACTATTTAGTAACACCGTGAGGGTGATCATATATTACATAACATTTCTTTTAAAAATACATAGCAAAAAAAATTACTTTTTCACTTATCATTGGTCTTCATGTTTTTTTTTTTGTAATATGCCTCAAAATTATCATATTTTATTTAGCTATTTGAAAGTAATTTTATTTTTATACATGATGAAGTGATGTCTTTATTATAATACTAGTAAGTATTATTTACTTATTGATTTTTTTAGGGGAGGTACATTGTATAGTATGATAATAATATATTTTTAGAAAAGATATTGTTCCAAATGTTTTACGATAAGCAAAAGGACATCAAAATGAAAGAAAATGTGATAATTGAGAAAGACCCCCCTCACCTTCTTGAAATTTTTCATGGAGTACTTGTCAATGGTAGTGACGATGAAGCTAATGCCACACAATCGCGTAATTATGATTTCATCTTTGATTATTTTCACGATTGTTGGAGAAAAAAATCATGTACGACACAAATCAGGATTGCTCACAAACGTGTTTCATTTCGTCATGAATTTGAAATCAAAGGAATTCATTTTAGGCCTAGTGGAATTGACTCATTAAGAGGTGTGAGATTTACATCTCACTATTACTATGCAAAACTAAATCTCCCATGTTGGTATGTTTCAACATACACTACATGATAGCTTATGAAAAAATATACTAATTGTTCATGATAGCTGGGACAGCAATGTGAAGTATAGTGTCTTGCAGAGGTGAAAGGTGGACAAAATTTGGTGCATGAGAAAGATCAACTTTGGTGGAACTCATTTCAAGCGTGGGGCATCCGAGTATATTGAGAGGTATGCGCCAATGGCCTCTTTTGTCTTTCACATTCCACCTTGCAGCTCGTTGAGCACTCATGATATTCATCTATTTGTTCGAATTTTCGGAGGATCCAACACGCACATGGTGATATTTTTGATGAGTCGGAGAAAAATAGCATGAGAATTCTGCCGTTTATGATCGATCCGGACCGGCCTTATAGGCACTTTTCATGACTGGTAGAGTGTTATGAATTAGTCATACCTTACAAAGTTCTTCTCCCTCACTATATATAAAGGCCGCGAAGAAGGTTACGTTGTTTGCTTGAAGATATCAATCATACTGGAATTTCGTTAAGAGTTTGATGCTTGTGAGACTACAAAATGTCAATCGTTTATGTCCCTCACATTAGATTCTCTTTGATATGCAAATTCCAAAATCTAAAAGATCTACTAAGCTATTTACATCTCCAAGCAAAAAGGTTTAGTAAACATCTAGACTTAAATATGTGTATGGAAGTAATTAGAAGTTCCTTCAAAACATCTACACTCATTCGAGCCAATAATATTTGAATGAAACCAACTGATCCTCCATCATTCACACATTGAAAACACAATGTTCCTTGAAAGCTATATATATTTTTCACCCCCTTTTAAAATATCGACGGTTACATGTGGATCCTCTACAAGTAGAATTTCAAAAAATCATTCAATAAAGTAAAGAAATAAAAATATTTTGGGAGAAGAGGGAAGGGAAACAAAAATAAAAGTAATTAAATATGATAGAAGAAAAGACAAATTTAAAATTTTTTCCGCACATTGAACATTTCGTCGCCGGTGATTTCCGTCGTGATCCTAGTCGGAGAAATCAAACTCATCTCTCATCTCACCTGCATCTTCCGCCGCCGGTGACGGTGGCAGCTGCTCAAGCGCCGAGCTGATAGTTTCAACACCAGTTCCTCTTCACTCGGAGGCGATTTACAGCAGCAAACCTCAAATTAGAACTGAAAATGCTCAGAAGAACCACACTGCACTTTACTTCCAAGATTACACTTTTCTCACTTCCAAAACTCCACTTTTCAACCCTTTCTTCTTCATCTTCCCCCTTTTACCAAAACCCCACAAAAATCCTTTCTCAATCAGACATCAAAAACCTCGTCTTCTCTCAGTATCACCATGGCAAGTTTCACAACCTCCTCCAAAACGTTGTCTCTTTACCCTCTTTCCTCCTCACAGCTTGCCGCAATCTCAAACCAAATGACAAGAATACCCTCACTCTTGATTCTGTCTCAACTCATTTTTTCTCACTTCAAGAACTCTCCTATCACCTCTCTACAAATCAATTTGATGTCAATGTTTGCGGCTTTACTATCCCTCCATCTTCAGTTAAAGGTAAACCACTTGTGCTTCCTAATTTGAAGCTTAAAGTAGTTATTGAAGCTATAAGAATGGTTCTTGAATCAATTTATGATGATAGATTTGTGACATTTTGTTATGGTGGACGTGTTAATATGGGAAGACATACCGCTATTCGTTACCTTAAGAACTCTGTTGAGAACCCCAGTTGGTGGTTTACTGTTTGCTTGAATACTGCAAAGTTTGAAAATAAGCATGTTGATAGGTTGTGTAGGGTTATGGAAGAGAAAATTAGTGATGAGGCATTGATTGGCTTGATAAAAGTGTTATTTGAGTCTGAAATAATGAGTATTCAATTGGGTGGTTGTTGTTTAGGTAGAGGGTTTCCTCAAGAATGTGGGTTGAGTTCAATTTTGATTAACATTTACTTTAATAGTTTCGATAAGGAGATTCAAGAACTAAGGCTTAAAACGAGTCGGGAGAATCCGAGAGTTGATGCTAATGACCTTGCTGAGGGATATCAGAGGAATGCTTTCTATAAGCCGTTGAAGATATATGCAGTTAGGTATTTGGATGAGATATTGGTCATCACGTCGGGGACAAAGATGATGACTTTGGATTTGAAGAGTAGGCTTGTGCAGATTCTTGAGAGAGATATGGAATTCGGTATTGATAAGGTTAAGACTGTTATTCATAGTGCTACTTCTGAGAAGATAGAATTTTTGGGGATGGAGCTTCAGGCAGTTAAGCCGTCTGTCTTGCACCCACCAATGTCACAAAAGGCGATTAGGGCGAGGAAGAAGTACCTCCGGCAGAAAGAAGTTAGAGCTGTGGAGTTGAGAAATGCTAAAGAGAGTAATAGGAAGAAATTGGGAATGAAAATATTCAGTCATGTATTTAAGAAAATGAAGCGGGCCAATGGTTTCAAAACTGATTTCCAGATTGAGAGTGAAGTCAACCAAATCTTTGATTCTTGGGCTGAAGAGGTAATGCAAGACTTTTTGGAATCTGTCGATGATCGTTGGGAATGGCACCGGATGCTCTCAGCTGGTGACTTCCTTTCTTTGAAAAGGATCAGAGATCAACTGCCCCTTGAACTCGTAGATGCTTATGACAACTTTCAAGAGCAAGTTGACAGGTACTTAAATCCCATCAAAGCAAAAAGGCTGTTAGAGGAACAAGTAAAGATAGCAGAGGAAGAAGAGGAGCGGAAATACTCTGATCAAACGGTGGCAGATCTGACAAAGTTATGCCTAAAAGTTGAGGCGCCCTTAGAAATTGTTAAGAAGGCAGTCAAACTGATTGGATTTACAAATAATATGGGCCGTCCTAGGCCGATTAGCTTACTTATGGTTCTTGAAGATGCTGATATCATCAAGTGGTATGCTGGTATTGGGAGAAGGTGGCTTGATTTCTTTTGCTGCTGCCACAACTTCAGAAAGTTGAAGATTATAGTATCTTATCATTTAAGATTCTCGTGCATCTTGACTTTAGCAGAGAAGCATGAGTCCTCAAAGAAGGAAGCAATCAGACATTACACCAAGGATCTGAAAGTTTCTGATGTTGATGGGGTCGAAGAAATGTATTTTCCCACAGAAAGGGAAGTCAAAATGATGGGAGATAATGATCTCATTGATCCAAATCCTGTGGATGGTTCTCTGGGGATGACATTGATTAGATTAGCTTCTGATGAGCCCTCTTACTGTTGTGCTGCTCATTTTTGTGACAGAAGAGATACTATTGTCTACCGAATTAGGTTACTTCAGAATCTTCTTAATTTGGATTCGTTTGATCGAAGTAAGTGGGTTCCAGGAATGGGTGCTATACACGAGAATTTGAATAAGAGATGCATCCCTTTATGCTCTGACCATATTAGTGAATTGTACTTAGGTAGACTGACTTTGCAAGACACTGATTATGCTTCTCTTTTGCATGTGGATTAGTTGATGTCCGACATTATTGTCGGAGTGACATCAAAACTGCTGTAAATTAATAAGAAACATACCCAGTGTACTCAACCACAGCTTGTATATCCATATTTGAGATGTGGTCTTTTTGTTGTGAGAGCCATCCTGCTTATAGTACAATTTGTTTCAGAAAAGCATGGTCAGTTATGCAAAGCATCAGCTATTGAGAAAAGCTGAAGAGTTTTCCAGAATCTGTAGTGGAAGCAATAATTCTTTTGATTGGATTACTGTTGGAGGTTATGCCACATGCATAAAAGATGTCTGTGAAAACACAATTTGGCCTTCCTGTACCACCAATCATGGCTATCTAGAAATAGATGATATGAAGACTATGAGAGTATGCTTTCTGAAAGGTCAGTAACTGCATGGGGACTAGTTGGTCTATAGTTTACTTTTACAACCTTTCTGGTGTCTGTCACCTGCATTTCTCATCTGGGCTTTCAGCTTCCCCCTTGCTTTCTTTTGTAAGTGTTGCATATCAGATATTGCTTTTCTCATCTATTTGATTGATAGGTTATAATGTTGTACATTGATCATGAACTAGGACCCTTATTTGTGAGTTAAACTTGAAATATTTTCGGTCTGTTCCTATGAAAGACCTGCATGTTCTTCTCCTCTAAAATCCAAGGAATATAACAAATTGAAGTTCTCTAGTAAGCTGAACCTTGACTATTTTGACCATTTTTTACATCAGTACTGGCCAGTGGAAATGGAGTAGAAGAATTGTTGTGGAAGGTGATCTTTGACAATCTTTCCACCACTCTAAGTGCAACTCAAGCATTTATGTTATCAGAAACGCACAAATAAGTACTGTTGTAGTTGAACATACATGAGAAAATACCGCTGTCTAGAGTGGCTACAGAAAACTTAATTTTACTTTCTATTTATAAATCAAAAGGTTTCATTTATATATATTAAATTAATGAAAAAGGAAAAGTTTCTCTATTTTAGTTTGACAAGTTCTTCATAAACAAGGTACAATATTTTCGGAATTTAATGATCAATCTCATGTGCAGGAGTGCACCATTGTTGTGTCTAAGATCTTGGCGCCTGATATGGCCTATTAACAGACATGGCCTATTAGCATCAAGCCGCAGCGGAGCCCAAGTTTTCCTTTTCCACTCCAATGCAATAAACTTACAAAAAAGACGAACAAAAATGGGTAAGAAGCGAGGGTTAAAAGATGAATAAAAATGGGTTATATTATTAGGCGGGTCGGGTCGGGTCGGGTCGGATTAAAATTGGGTAATTTAAGTAAAATTGAGTGATTTTTTGGGTTTTCCATTCTATTAAGGGGTATAAATGGTGAAATTAGTAACGGCTAGGGTATAAATAATTTTATTTTAACGATAGGGGTATAGTTAACTAATAAATCAAAGTTGAGGAGTATTTTTTATCCTTTTCCTTATACATAAACTACTTTAGAGAGACTCTTTTTTATATCTAAAACTGCTCTCAACTAAAAAACATGATTAGGAAGATTCTGCAGTTTAGGTTGATAACAAACTTACCTTGAGGAAATATATGCAGTAAAAAATGTAATCAACCACACAACATCGACTTAATGATGTATTTTCATTGTATAAATACTGTAATTTACAGCATTTCTGATGTCACTCTGACAATAATGATAGACATCAACTAATCCACATGCAAAAGAGAAGGACGTCTCTTCCTATTATTGCGAAGTAGAATTCACCAAGTGTTGGATTTTTCACCCACCAAAAGGGAACATGAGCTGGGTTTAGACCGTCAAGTTAGTTTTACCCTATTGATGATAGTGTCGCAATAGTAATTCAACCTAGTACACGAGAGAAACCGTTGATTCACACAACTGATCATCGCGTTTGGTTGAAAAGCAAGTGGCGCGAAGCTACCGTTTGTTGGATTATGACTTAATGTCTTTAAGTCAGAATTCGGGCTAGAAGCAACGCATGCGCCCGACGTCCGTTTTGCCGATTCACAGTAGGGGCCTATGGCCCCCAAGCGCACATGTGTTGGCTAAGTCGTCGCGACGGAAGCGTCGTAGTGACCTGAAGTACAATTTGCATCGAGCGGTGGGTACAATCCTTCGCAAATGACTTAAATACGCGAAGGGGTATTGTACGTGGCAGAGTGGCCTTGCTGGCACGATCCACTGAGATTCAGCCCTTTGTCGCTCTGATTCATCCCCCAACCTCAAATCCAATCATTTCTAACTTTTCAAAAGCGAGGTTTATGTATTGCTTACTTCCTTGGAAGAAAAAAAAACGTTAAGTGTTAGAAAAATAAGTATTGAGAATAACATCGTAAATGAAATGTTACTATTTTGCCGCTAAGTGTTGAACTATATGTTCTATGCCGACCAATAAGTTGTCCAATAACGATGTCTCATTGCGAGGTTTTTTGTGACGTTTAGTTCATTTCTCATGCCTAATGAAATGTCAAGGGCCCAATAATGATCACCATCATAAGTTTTTTGGGATGTTGAGTGTGATCCTAAACCCAAGTGACATATCGAGATGCATACGGGTCTACGTAGACAACATGGGCGTCCCACACGCGTAGGCCTGGCGACATCAGCTAAGCATGCACGCATCAGATAGGTGACGTCAGCCGAGGCCAGACGACATCAACCAAGGTCTGAACGCATCAGGCATGCAACGTCAGACAAGGTCAGGCGACATCAGCCGAGGCCTGCGCGCATCATACTCTTGTTTTAGCTTATGAATGATAGTTTCTATTTCTACTCAAAAACTCTTGTTTTTATTGTAAAAAAACATAGTCAAACACCTTAATTTTTTTTAAATAAGCACTTTTTGCATAAAATAAATATTTTTGACTTTTCAGAACCCAAATGTACATTCACATAAGTTTCCCATTCAAGAATGTGCTAGTTGGGTGAAGGGCTAAGAGTAATTCGTTTAAGAAATTTATAGTATTTCTCTAAATTAACACCAATAATGTAAAGAAACTAAAATTAAAAAAAAAAACACATGTAATTTATTGCTGAGAAAATTATGTGTATAGATATTTCATGTTATTATTCTATAGTCCTTAGCCCTCACACTGCATATTATATCTCTAAAAATCGAAAATTTAAATGCATTATACATTTGTTGGCTATATTAAGTGTTACAATAAGCTAATTACTGATGATTTACTTGGACTTTTCTAATACAAAAAAACAACTCTAGGGGAGTGATTAAAGGACAATGGAGGAAAACATATATATTGAAGAAAGTAAAGGTAGTGAGTTTTTAATTTGTTTTGATTTTTGTGGCTGCTTGAGTCAATGGAGTTCAAGCGTTGGTGGAATCACCGGCAAGGGTGGTAGTAGGATGAATAAAATCGCTTCAAATTTAACCAGAGGTCTACAGTTGAAATCTTGGGTATGAAAAAAGATTTTGTTTGAAAACACTTCCTTTCTTCTTAAATAAGAGTTATACAATGTGAATTCAAATTAATTAGGATCCAATACAAAAATCAAATTTAGATGAGAAACTTAAAAAGAAGAAGAAATTATCGTTGGAATCACTGATAAAGGTTGTGGTAGGATGGATAGGGTCGCTGCAATTGTAACCAAAGGTCTCGAGCTGAAGCTTAGATATGAAAAATGTTATGTTAGAAAATACATTCCCTCCCCTTAGATAGGCCTTATTACACAAGGTGAATCCAAATTAGCCGAAACTCAATATAAAAATAAAAATAAAATAAAAAAATTATCATTGGAATACTAGATGTAAAAGTGTTATATAATGTTTTCACTTTCAAATGTCAACATGACTCCGTGGCCCAATGGATAAGGCGCTGGTCTACGAAACCAGAGATTCTGGGTTCGATCCCCAGCGGAGTCGCTTGTGTTATATTTATTTTTTTAAGAAAGTTCTTATTTTTGTCACTACTTGGTAAATTCAAGCACTATGCTAAGAGAAACTAAATATTAAAGTGGAAATACATACGTAGATGATCGAGTTCATCATCTTATTCGGAACTAGATATATTACTTGTATGAAAATAGATAAGATGGTCAAGCTCATCTTATTTTTGTCACTTCTTGGTAAGTTTGAGCACTATGCTAAGCGAAACTAAATATTAAATACTAAGTACGTGGATTATCGAGTTCATCATCTTATTCAGAACTAGATATATTACTTATATGAAAATAGATAAGATGGTCAGGCTCATCATCTTGATCGGAACTAGATATAGTACTTAAGTGGAAACCGGTAGAGAGTTATGCTCATTATCTCTGAATTTCAACGGCTTGGTTTCAAAATCTAGACAATTTTTTTTGTTCAATAAAAGAAGTCAAATTAATATATACACTAATAATTGGGCTCATAGTAAAATATTTATAAATATTTAAGAAATTTCTAAACATATACATATACAAAGTTATCAGAACTAAAATCACAAAGGGAAAAAAGAAGTGGGTGTGTGGAACACATCAATTATCCCTATAACTATAACTGAAGGCAAATAAAAACTAAAACATGTGTATATATTAATGTGATTAATCTGTGTTATTAATGTGATTTTCTATAACGTATTTCACCTGAAAATATTAATCTCTATAAACAAACTGGTGTGGGTCTAATCATTCATCTTTCATGCGCTAACATTATCAAACTCGTGTATATATTAAGCTCTTGCTCTTCTAGAATTCAAGAAGATGTTTGTCATCAACCCTTTTGCTTCTACTTTTGAGGAATGTGAAGGTCTTTCTCCAAAGACACTTTCATGGAATACGAGCACGGATTGTTGCTCGTGGGATGGAGTTTATTGTGATGAGACGACAAGCGAAGTGATTGAGCTTGACCTCAGATGTAGCCAACTTCAAGGCAAGTTCCTTTCCAACAGTAGCATCTTCCAACCCTCTGCTCTCAAAAGGCTCGATTTATCTATGAATGATTTCTCTGACTCAAACATTTCACCTAATTTCGGTGGATTTTCTAGCTTGACATATCTTTATCTATCCTATTCGACGTTCACAGGTCAGATACGTTCTGAAATTTCTAATCTTTCTAAACTAAGTTC